CAATCTCCATGTTGATATCAATACCATTCACTGTCATTTTTTCGCGATACGGCGGTGTTTTCTCTTTGTCTTTGAAGCTGAATAAATTATACGCTAGCTCTTCGTCGCGTTGATGCTGTTCAACTTTATTCATTTCCGAATCCCGTCCTTTTTTCCCCCGAAAGTTTTTCCCTTGCTTTAGTCGTTTCTCGCTTGAAACCTTCTTAGAACTTCGGCACACTTTCGCTATGTGTCCAATTTTACCGCATTGATGGCACTTTTCAGTTTTAAACCGGCACTTTGTATGGTCGTGTTTACCACCACAACGATAACATTCTTTGTATTCGTCGCTGTGTCTACCGCCGTGTAATTTATTCATCGAGTGTTTATTTGGCATTTCTCCCTTCAAGTCACGACCATCTTTAGCGGCTGTTTCCATCCCGTGTGCAATTTCTAAAGCTCGTTTTAAATCTAATGTCGGTTCAGCCAGTAAACGTCTCTGTATTCGATCTTCGTTGACACCACAGACTAATCGATCTCTTAACATTTCATCTAATGCACTACCGAACTCACAATGTTCAGACAATGCCCGAAGTTCGGCCATAAAAGTCGAGATTGATTCGTCGTTTCTTCTGACCCGAGTATTAAATTTATAACGTTGTACAATTACTGATGGCTTCGGAACATAATGGTTTTTTATAGCTTCAGATAATTCTTCATATGACAATTTGTTCGGAACCTCTGGCCGTATTAAACCTCGCAGTAGTTTATAGGTTTTCGCACCTATAACACTCAGGAAAATCGAACGTTTCTTATCTTTGTCTTCGATATCATTCGCTTCGAAATAGTGATCCATTCGCTCCACATACTGTGTCCATTCTTCACTCTCGTCGTATTCATCTATTCGACCGTACGTAGCCATGTTACGCCTTAATTTTTTTACCTTCGTCGCCAATATAATATACTCAGTCTCGGGTAGTTTAATCAGCACTTTATTGACATACGTATGCTATTTATACAAACTGTTATGAATATATTACAATGACTAATTAGGACAACTGATTAACATATATTACACAATCTTGACTATACTACAAATTTGTCGCAATATGTATTGTGTTCAAAACATCTCGTGATTTGAACGTCAGCCTTTCAAGGTCCTTATAAGGAGATCGCCCACGCTGAGAGATTTGCATTTGTTTGGAATTCTAAGTATCATTTGCTGATTTGGTTTCATGTAATTCAAGAGAACTGACTGAACCTGTTTCTAAATATTGAAGAACTTAAGTTTTTGTTCATTTATTACAGACCTTCATGTAATAAAAAATAGGTATAAAGAACTAAGAAAATTCAGAAATTTTGAACATTCAAATTTTCCCAGTTCTCATTTTTGTTCTCAATGAGCAACAGAATATCTCACTATCCATCTATTGCTTTGAGATCAGTGAGGAACAGAAAATAGCTTGCAGTCCACTCTACGAAGAAAACTATTGTGAAAGAAACTACCCAGGAACAAAGTACCTCGGCCAACAGTACCCCGGAACAAAATACCTCAGGGAAAAGTACCCCTGAAGAATCTGCTATGGAGCAAAATAGCTCACTTAGGGACTGGTCATTATTTATGGAAGGGGGGCGGGGAATTTTTTCTTTTCTAAATTTTTAAAATTGAAAGCCCCCCCCCTAAAAGAGCAGAAATTTAATGATGACCCCCCCCACTGCATATTGGAATATTTTTCTTTGACCCCCCCCATTTTCATTTTTACTCGTCAAATGGGGATACCCAGGCGTTATAGTGTTAATTATTAAATAAGAATATGGAACTGGCAAAATATTAACGTCGACCAAAAATATATATTAGCAAAAAATTATAATTAAAAGAGGAGTATTTTTATATATAACACTAAAATCAGGTTTCCATTTGTTCTGGGCGATTG